TTTCATATAACCTTTTTTATAGGAAATTTTATTCTCTTTAATTTCGCTCTCTTCAAATTTTTACGAGAAACGCATAGTTTTCGAGATATTTACAAAATACCGATTTTGGGAGCCATCTTGGCAAGATGGCTCCCATTTTTTCACAAAATATTTTCGTGGTGTCTGTCTGTCTGTCTGTCTGCCGTCTGTAACACGATAACTCAAAAACCGCTGAACCGATTTTAACCAAATTTGGCACAAAAAAATACTGTGGCACCTGAGAATCTGGCTATTAGTTTTTGGTGGGGGTGGGTCGTTGGTAAGGGGGTATAGGAGGGGGTTAAAAATTTAAAAAAATCGTAACTCCAAAATTACAGTAGCTAGCGAAACGCGGTTTTCAAATTAAGATTAGGAATAATATTTGCAACAAAATCTGAAATAACATCAAAAGCAGTCAAAGTCGCAGTTTTCGATATATTAACATATTTTAGTATGGGCGGCTATACGTACCTCCCGGCGCCAATTTTACTCCTAATAGAACATACATATTATTTTTTTAAAACATTACAAATCATTTTTAATCAATTACTGCAAATCAACCATTGCAAATAATATAAACAGTAATCGAGCAACAATTTGTACACTCGTTTAATTTGACACTTAATATCAGTTTAATAATATATTTTTGTACTTTTGTGCTTAGGCTTAACAGTGCTTTACTTTTATACCTAGGCGTTAAAATGACAAAAATGAATGCTTTTGAGACGTTTGAAAAAAAATCCTTTTGATCTTAAGGGAGCGACTTTTTTGCGAAATATATTGGTGGCCGATGTGGAAAAATAACAAAACGCACACTAGAATTATTAATGTTATCGATAACGGGCAGAGTTATAAAGATTTAGCCATTTAGGATAGGACTTTAATTGGAAATAAGTCCTAGTCATTTGGAAATCCGATTTAAATATTGTTTTGAATTAAAATAAAAAAAATCTGATTTAAATAAAAAAAATCTGATTTAAATCAAATAAATCTGATTTTTTAAAAAAAATCATGATTTTTTCCAACCCTCAAAATAATATCTTAAAATTGCTGACCTGGATATTATTTATTTGAATCTTTCAATTCGCTCGGTTTTCCTTATTCAATGTTAATTAGCGCTCATCAATATTGTTGCGATGAATATAATCAGGTTAAATAAAATTTAAAAAACCAGAGTCGGACTCTTAAATCATCAGTACATTCGTACTTTCAGTTAAAGTGAAAACCAGTTCTACTTTTTTTCATTTTTGACTGATCATTATCGAATAATGAATAGAAACTCAAGCGTGAGAACTACATTTTCGTGATTTGTTCAGTTTACAAGTTAAAGTTAATTAATTCTTTTAATAGTTTCACTAGCATCCCGTTTATTTCTTCGCAATATCCAGGACCTGACCCACCACCACTACGTTTTCTTCTTTTCTGATTCATCAGAATATTCTGTAATTCATTTGCTAATTGTAAACAAACTTCGCGAACACCTGGTTTCAATTTTGTTTTAACCATTTTCATGTCTACGAAATCACCACGTTAAAATGTTTGGACCAACTGAATACTGAATGTAGCAAAACATGAAACGTGTGAATACAATCGTTGATTTTTATTTTTCATTGATAATGAATCAGTCAGACTGCGTCAGCGAAACTGACAAGTGAGAACCCGCCTTTAGGTACAACTGATATTGGAGATGGAGAATTACCCTCTATAAAACCGTCCCAGATACTGGCTTTTGTCAAAGCCCTGGAACTGTGTGATGAGTTGTGAATCACAGTGTGTGTGATGAGTTGTGAACCGGTTTGTGATAACTCAAGAAAGGGGGAGACAATAGATCTGTAAAGTCGCAGTGATTAACCCCCCTCCCACTCATTTCTACATTCTCCACCTCAAAATACATTTTGCTGAGATTTATTGACTTTTCCACCACCTTTTTCACAAACTGCAACTACTCCCAACCTTGCCGTTGTCTATGTACCCGTGTAAATTCATAAACAATTTCATACACAAATTTGTAAACAATACAGGATGACTAGAAGAATTTATGACAGTGGCAATACGTTAGGTTTCAATTTTAGAAATTAAACTATTAAATAAAATAAAATAAAAATATGCCCTATTCCCTAAACTGACGTTGTTTTTATTATTTAAACACGAATAGATTGACTTAAAATATGTACATGTCCATTTATTGGTATTCAATACTTTTTATTCGCTATCTATTCAGAGTGAAGAATTTTTTTTTTTTCCAATAATAATTTAGATTTATATTCTTCTGATCCACGTTATAACCGCTGAAATTTAAAGAAAAAAAAACACATTTGTAAGATAATTACATTTTTCTATCTTTTGTTCTTAAAATATGTTTGCTTTGAAAACTTAAATAAAAAAATGACATAATTAGAATCATTATTCCATCATATATAAATACATATGCTAAATTTTTTATCTAGATCTATGTTTTTATCTACATATATTTCTTACTGGTGGGAACATTTAGAAGTAAAATCATTCTTACGTTATTCTCGTATATGTTAGTTAAATGTAATTCTCTTTCTTATTAAAGATTATATTACTCTAATTAGGATTTTATTTTTAATCAATTGAGAGTGGCTTTACAAGTTTCCGTTTTTTTTTTCAATCATATTTTCTTCTTTATTTATTCATATTTTTGTAAAAAGGTTTATTTACCTAACATGTATTTATTATCAATCATATACTAAAATACACTCCTTAATTTATTTGAATATAATAGAACGCCTATGGAGAGCGGTGTTTACTTTATAGAAAATGGCCCTATATTTTTTAAAATTTTCGATGCTGAGAAATACAAAAATATATTATATTGCAACGTAATATATTTAATGTTAAAATCAAGAACAAAGTTTGAACACTGTCAAAAAAATTATTTATTGGTGACCGGTTTGGTTTGGTTTGGTTGGTTTCATTTTTATTTTATTTGCTTTTACGTTTCATCTTTCTAACAACGCAATTTTATAAATATACCATGCCTAGTAGATACCAAAAATCGCTATTTAGAAAGTAACGTAGCGACGGGAGCACCACCGCCAATAGTAACCGACCAAATCGCGACAGGCGAAAACGGAACCCTAGAAGCGCTCCAGCGACGACTGCTGGAACGAAGTAAGTCGCCGCCGAGGTCGAGCGTCGATAGTCAGTTACAGCAGGGACCAGTTACTTCTGTTCGCGACAGGGAACTAAAACTCCAGGAGCGCGACAGCTGGAGTGAAGTAGGTCGCCGCCGAGGTCGAGCGTCGATGCCCAGTTACAGCAGTTACTACTGTTCGCGACAGGGAACTACATAACTACAACTCTAGGAGCGCGACGGCTGGAGCGAACACGTCCCGATCGAGATCGCCCGGCGCTACGGACATACTAGTTCCTGATACTACTGTTGGCAACCGACGAAATCGCGACGGCTGGAGCTAAACACGTCGCTATGCGGTTACTACGGTTCGAGCTAACTTCAAGAGCGATTATAAATAATTTATTTGCAAATTATAAATAATTTATAATTTTGTCATTATGATCGTCGTTCTTCAGTAACAGGTTCATGATTCGTTGTGGAGCCCGACACGACGTTACAACAAAATACCGCTCCAAAATCGCGTTACTCAAATGCCGATACATCACTATTGGGGATAGCTATACAAATGTTATAGGATGGGATATAAGTTTGAATTTTAGCGTTTTTTTTTTATATGTAATAAAAAAATGTAAAACAAACTTATTGGTGGTGGTCAAAATAAGAAACGTGGAATGACAAATCTGAAGCACAGTCGACACTGTTGTATAGCTGGATAAAAGTGGCAATAAAAATGTGCTTTTAGTTTTGGAATACATTCTCAAATAATGTCAGAAAAGAATAAAATCAAAATCTTCAATTTTCGGTTTTTCTCTAATATCTCTGGACCTACTCGGAATATTAATAAATAAAATAATAATATAATGTTTCTGAAGGACATATTATTAGGTAAATTTTAATGCACTACAAAGTTCTAATTCGAACATCTTCGTATCTTCTGTAGTTTTCGAGATCCCAAGAGTTAATACATTTTGATTTTTGTTTGAAACATGTTTATTTTCAAATTTTTGACTACATACAGGGTGGCCCGTTAGTGCGAGGAAGTCCAAAATCTTCGTCGTTGTCGAAGATATGAAAAAAATTTTATATAGATGGTTTATAAATGAGCATCCTCTTCCGACCCGCGATACACATTTGTGTACAAACTATTTAACTGTATTTTCTTAATTTACCATTTACGCCAATTGAATTTAGGGCGATATATCCCTATATAGAATGATCATTTTACCGTAAAACTATTTTGTTGTATACAAGGTGTCCCAAAAAAAGTTAAGATAAAGTTTTAAGTTTTATTACTAATTTTTCTATACAGATTTGGATTTAGCATAAAATTTTGCATACAGTACTCTATTTTTATTTCCTGCACTATGCGGTGTGTGTTGCTACTCTATTTCATATTTGCTGAAACTTTGGTTAAAAACACTACATTCAAAAAGTGGTTAAAAACTAGAGTGAATTTAACTTAAATTTTGTAATTTTATTAGGTCGTCAACATCGCAATATTTAATGTGTTTTTATTTTAGTTTTAATCATCTTCTGATGATGCTAACATAGTTAGCGAAACGCGCGTCCAGTGTAAAAAGTAAGTGTTTTGGTGTATTGTGGTGATTTAGTGTTTTATTTTAATATGCAGAATGTTATGCTGAATCCAATTATGTACAGAAAAATCGGAGGTGCAATTTAAAACACTTAAAACTTTATCATAACTTTTTTGGACACCCTATATACAATAAAGTATTTTTAGGATATGTGACATTATAAACCCAGGCAACATTTGGTATAAAACTTTTTTTCATATCTTTGTCACCAACGACAATATTGGACTAATGGGCCACGTTGTATATGCCATTTTATTGCATACTTATGTTTCTTATTTTTTCAGGTCGTTGATTCTACAGACGAGATCTCTTTGAACGCTGCAGCCTTGAAAATAGACTCTGCTGAGATTAAGGGCGATAAAGTTTTCATTCCCAAAGATATTCAAGTTAATCAGAGCGATGAGACAGTCACCTTTAAATTCGACACACACATTTATCCTGGTTCTTATAGTCTGGACATCGTTTTTAATGGTATGTATTTTTATAAACGTATCCGCGTTTTATTGCTAATTTTGTTTCTTATCACATTACCTAATGGATAAAGCTGTCTTGCTTATTACTTTTATATTTAGTATATAGGGTGTTTCAAAAAACATGTGCTCTTGTGGGAAGATTCCTCTCCTAAAATTAATATTTTCTGTGGGCTAAGTGTATTGTGCATGTTAAAGTGGTGCACGGAACGGCTTTTTAAATGTTGACTTTTATTCTTTAGGTGATGTTAATGATAAAATGAAGGGTCTGTACAAAAGCAAATATGTTAATGAAAATGGAGAAGACGCCTACGCAATTGTGACTCAATTTGAGGCTACAGATGCAAGAAGGTAAATAAAATAAAAAAAAAACAATTTTTAGATTTACTGATATAATGCAGCAACTATACGGGGTGTCGCAGAAATAAGTGCAAGTATTTTAACTAGTAGTATAGTTCAACCCCAGAAACACGCCTATGAGGGTTTTTTCGCGAAAAAAAAAATTTTTTGAAATTTTTTTTAGTTTTTTGTTAAAAAACTGTAAAATCGCTTATTTCTGGGGCTTACTCAACCGGGTCTCACAATGCAAATTTACCTCAAATATCCATTTAGTTGGTCATTGGCAAGCAGACTCTCATTGTACAGGGTGTCCTATTTTGGTTGAAATCAGACGGTATTTCCGTCATTAGTAAAGATAGGAGGATGCGGTTTGCACAAACCTGTCCCACTTTTTTGTCAAACGCAAGATGCTGTCACCAAAATTTTTATAGCCCTCTTCGTTTCTGAGCTACAGGGTCTTTTCGAAAATTTTGCAATTTGGGACAGCACCTGTATCTCCGTCATTATGGATGATATCGAGAAGGTGAAAACTGATTCTTGTAGAACTTTTTACGTAGAAAACAGTGACGTAGTCTGTTTTTCTACGAAGAAAATATTTTTGAAGATATGAACTAAAGTTATGTTTTTTCAAATGGAACACCCTGTATATTTATAAATCATATGATCCGCCTTGCTATGAGCTTCTCTAAAATATATATCACTCTATATTTATTTTCACTATTTACTGCAATATTTAAAATATATCATTTTCTTATTAGTAGGCCGTGATAAATAACAAAAAATCAAAATGGTATTTACTAAAATAGTCATAAAAATCTTAAAATTTTATTTGGAATTGATATATTTTACTTTTAAACTGTTACCCCTGAATCTCTGAATACATTTTTCTTTTTTTATAATGGAATTTATTATAATGGGATGGGTTTGCAAATATCTAAAAGCTTGCATTATTAAAGCATTTTCCAGGTGTTCGACATTGTGTTAGTTGCCACGATATATTTCATATTTCAAAAATCCCCATAATCAGAAATCAAGAACTGACAAATCCGGGAATAAGGGAGGCCATTATATGAATCCATTAGTTCCAATTCATTGATTTGAGAAATAATAATTTAACAAAATTCCAATATTTTTATTGTAAGTTAAGTTGTGAGGGGGAGCCCCATCATGCTGAAAGTATATTTCACGTAAATTAGGTAAAGGAATATTTAAAAGTCCCGCTACGATAGCTTCCAAGATTTACAAGCAGCGGTAGAGAGTTAAATTTCCCTAATAAGGCTAATATATAAAGAATTTATTAGTGGCTCTCTAAATAAAACAAGAGACACATAGCAGTATACTTTTAATAATTCTTTAGTGTCTTTTATTATCAATCATGGCCTACTAATAAATTTGATCTTTTAACTTTTAATATATTTTTTTAAATATTGCATTAAATAATGAAAATAAATGTGATATATATTTCTGAGAAGCTTATGGCAAGCCAGATCATATAATTTATAAATATACAGGGTGTTCCATTTAACAAAACATAACTTTAGTTCATATCTTTAAAAATATTCTTTTCGTAGTATAACAGACTACGCCACTGTATTCTACCTAAAAAGTTCTACAATAAACAGTTTCCACCTTCTTGATACCTTTAACAATAACAGAGATGCAGGGGGTGTCGTAAATTACAAAATTTTCAAGAAGGCCCTGTAACACAGAAACGAAGAGAGCTATGAAAATTTTGTTTACGACATCTTCCGTTTGACAAAAAAGTGGCACAGGTTTATTCAAACCGCACCCTTCTATCTTCACGAATAGCGGAGATACCGTATGATTTCAACCAAAATGGGACACCCTGTACATGAAAATAACAAAACAAACATTTACTGATCTGGATAAAATTGATAGTTAAATAGTAAAACTCACCCGAGGGTAAAACTTACCCGCCCCTAGTTACTGATATTCTATTCAATATATCACATTCCATATCTTCCATCTAATTCTAATATTATTCGGATCTATTGGTTAATCATCTTCAGCAACTAGCTAGTGTCACCTGAAATAGTATAGGGGCTTCCCCGGACGCAAATCTGCCGCTAAACAGATTCGCATCCCAATCGAATAGGCTAATTGGGGTACCTCACTACTCCAACGCCGCATCGTGTCAATCGAGAAGCATTATGGAGACCTCCGGCCCGTCTACTACTAACCCGCCGGCAAGCTAAGCCTCCTCTTACATCACAATTTTGCCTGATCACAAATATTTACTTTGCTTGCCAATGGCTCATACTATTGCCTCTAATCGGCTTTTAAAATAGTGTTTTAGCATTACTAGATAAATAAATTGAGAGTTTCCGAGGAATGCATATTCTTTATAGAATAGTGAATAAGAAAAGCATTATTATAACGAACAACTTATTTTCCAAGTTTTACAAAACATAATTTCTTGATAATATGGAAAGATAGGTATTGGATTAAATTTACAAGAAAGAAAATCCAGAAAAGTTCCAGTGGTTCTCAAAATTTTAGCAAAAACTCAATTTTTTTGAAAATTTTCTAAGTAAAATAACTCCGTTATTTTGGACTTATTTGAAAAAGAATAAAGAGAAAATATGTTTCTTTTATCGAGATCTACCACCCCTTAAAATACTTGCACTTATTTCTGGGACACCCTGTATAGGACGAGTTTTAAATAAGTGCAAATATATTCAGGGCTGGTAGATCTCGAGAAAAGAAACTTATTTTCTCTTTACCGTTTTCTAAAATAACCGAGTTAAATTACTTTGAAAATTTGGAAAAAAATATTTTTTCTTAAATTTTGAGAACCACTGGATCTTTTCTGTATATTTTTCTATAAATTTAATCTACTACCTATGTTGTCATATTATCAAGAAATTATGTTTTACAACTAAAAAAATTTCCAAAAAATTCCAAATTTTTATTTTTTTTGCGATAAACTCATAGACATGTTCCTGCGGTCAAAATATTATATTATCCATGAAAATATTGCACTTATTTAAAACTCACCTAGCCTCGATTGAAGATATTTTCTATAAAACCATCTGCGCCAATTATGATAATCTAATTATCGCCGGAATTTTAACAATTTTAAAGAATTGAAATTATGTTTGAGATACGTTCTTATCTTCCAGGTGTTTTCCCTGTTGGGACGAGCCAGCCCTTAAAGCTACCTTCGATATCAGTCTAGTAGTACCTAAAAACTTAGTAGCTCTATCCAATATGCCTGTTAAAGATCAGCAAATTAAGGGTGATACAGTGCGATACGACTTCGAGAAAACTCCCGTTATGTCTACCTATCTTGTGGCTGTTGTGATCGGAGAATACGACTATGTAGAGGATCGGTCCAGCGATGGAGTATTAGTCAGAGTGTACACACCAAAAGGTAATGTTAATTTTTCAAATTTTATTCATATTATTAAGGTATATAAGTATATTAGTCAGAGTGTACACACCAAAAGGTAATGTTAATTTTTCAAATTTTATTCATATTATTTGGAGTCGTGTTTCAACATTAAACTAACGGTATCCACTGAAAAGAATGAGTTTTTTCTTTTGAGTCTCTAGATAAAAAAATATAAAAAATCATAAAAATCGAGGCCTAAGGCCGGTCAAATAATTAATAGCGGGAATAATATCAACGTCATTTTAAATTGTTTTACATCTTTATTATGTCTCAAAAGTGGCATTTCTCCTCTGGCACTTTGGGTGAGTGGAGTATTAGTCAGAGTGTACACACCAAAAGGTAATGTTAATTTTTCAAATTTTATTCATATTATTTGGAGTCGTGTTTCAACATTAAACTAACGGTATCCACTGAAAAGAATGAGTTTTTTCTTTTGAGTCTCTAGATAAAAAAATATAAAAAATCATAAAAATCGAGGCCTAAGGCCGGTCAAATAATTAATAGCGGGAATAATATCAACGTCATTTTAAATTGTTTTACATCTTTATTATGTCTCAAAAGTGGCATTTCTCCTCTGGCACTTTGGGTGAGTCTAAGGAGCATCTCACTGTCTAGTCCCTGTCTGTAATGGCCAGGTAATTACACCAAGACGTATAACGATGCCGGATGGGAATATCCTATCCGTCATACCAGGGCACCCTCCACTCTCTGTGGTCATGGCTCACGGGTAGAGGGTGTGGGTGGGTCTTGGCTTAACCACCCGGACCAAGAGGAGACGACCTCACCAAAAACCTAAATCCTATGATGGCGGGAATAGGTCAAAGGGATGCGTGGCTAGATAGAAGACTAATCTCTACTAACTGGTCTCAACTTGGGGTACCAAGGGACACCCCGTTGTATTTTGTCCTTACTTCTTTATCCACGTCATTACCTCTATCTTTGTTTCACTCCTTACTTCTATATACGGGGCTCTGTAGAAGTGGATCGACTAACCCTAGCGACTCGTCGGAACACTATGAGAGTATAAAAAACACCACCGGTGAAGCTGTGAGGAAACCTTCAAGCAACACTGGGCACATTATCAATGCAAGTTTCAAGGGACCTTGCTGGACCAGGCGGGCTAGAAGATCCGCTGAGAATAGGTCTTAGCGGAACAGAAGTATGGAGATCCTAGACCTCCGACTAGGATACAAAGGACTTGCTCCAGAGGAAGCAAAAGCGAAAACACTCCTCGAAAAAGAGCAGAGTAATGAGACTAAAGGGCAAGAGAGGGAGCGAGAACCTCTCAACTCTGCTCCGGCAAGGAGAGAAAAAAGCTAGGATGGAAAGCCGTCTAACACCGACAGGCAAGCAGGGACGTATTACCAGTTTTGCCGCTATTGCTGTACAAGTGAAAATGGCGGTGCTGCCAAAGGATTACCTAGAGGTTGCAGATGACTAAATTTGAACAAAGTTGTCCATTAATGTGTATAATAATAGAGATAAGATAATAAATGGCACTCTGAATAGAATGCCTAGTACAATATTTAAATATTAAAATCGCACTCTCGCAGGTTACAGTCGCAGCGATTCAAAAATCGCAATTGCGGTTTCAATTCTGATTGGAGAATCGCAGTTTTGCTCATCTCTAGTGTTTACATATCTAAATAGATAAATTCATTGCGATTCTAACAATGTATTACAAGTTATGTATAGTGGCTTTTCAACGTCAATAATTTGTAAAAATCCTTTATTCAATAGGCGTCTTGAAAAAGGACATTTGAAAGAAAAACGCGACATGTTAAAACTTTATTACAAATTTGACAAAAATAGCGCAAGAACATCAGAAATATATTTACAAACGTACCCAGAAAGATAACAAGACATAATATTATTTGAAAAGAACATTTAGTAGTTTTGCGCTTTTTAAAAACCAATGAATACATCAAAACTAGGATAGACATAATAGTAGATAATTATTACCTTAATTTATGCTAAAATTATAGTAACTGTTTCAACTGTTATTGAAATAATCTTTTAGTAATTTTTTGAATTTTATTTGCAGGCAAAAAGGAACAGGGGCGTTTTGCTTTAGAAATAGCCAGTAAAGTACTTCCTTATTACAAGGAGTACTTCAATATCGCCTACCCGCTGCCAAAAATAGATCTAATTACAATAGCAGATTTTAGTGCAGGCGCAATGGAAAATTGGGGCTTGGTCACATATCGGTATGTAAACATTTTATTTAGACAGGATCATAAATTAATCTTATGATACTGATAAGTTTGTCGTGGTAATTATTAAAAAAATGTTCTACGGAGTTGTACGAGAATTCCTATTTTTCACGAGTTACAAATAAACCTTAAATATTAACTTGTTAACTTGGAATATTTTATAGAAAAGCGTTTTTTTCGAAAACTACATATGTGTGCTACATACACTACAGTGTGTTTCAATATTCCGCGCTTCCAATAAAGTGCTTCGTTTGTTAAGCTTCATTCAGAACCTCGCAATTAGTGGAATAAATTAGTGGTTTCAATTACACTTTATACTTTTTAGTTTATGATCATTCACAATGTTCCAAAAACAAAATTAAAATTAATAGAATATCCTAGCAATAGCTTGCGGTAGTCAGTTGTATCCATAAAGTGTATTATAGTCTATAAAATGAATAATTTTGAATTTTGACCGTTATTTTTTACCAACATGGCAAATATAAAATCCCTCTATCAAAAAAGTTACTGATATTCTTTAAATTGAGTGCTTGAACGAATCAGATAGGTAACTCTTTCGTGAAATAGAAAAGGAAAATAATAAAACAAGTGACAGTTTTTACAGTTCTTGCAAAAATCAACACGAAATGTCATAATTGTCAAAAGTAAAATGTCATCAGCTTTTGACATTTCCAATTATCAGACCAATGCCGTCTCTAATAGAACAGCCTCGGAGCCAGATTTATGACGTCACGCTAGTTAGATACTACGGATTAATAAATATGTTGTAGAATACATGGAAAACATAATTATTCCTCGTATTTTTGGTTATACTAAAATGTTTTTTTTTGAACCAAAAAAAAATAATGAAAAACCAAATGAAAACAGCGTTTTTATAATAATAATCAGCGTTTTTTTTCCCGAACCTAAATCCCAAGAAAATCAAAAATTTTAGAATAATTTTACATATAAAATGACAGCGATCTTTATTTCATAGCCATCGCTGGCGACTTTTTTGCTATGATATTGTATTATTTGCAAATATCATTTTTCGAACATTGATACTTGCAAAATTACATATAAATTTTGTGAATGCAAATAATAATACATCACTATTAGTAGATATTGAATGTTTTTTGTTAAATTAGATAGATTTTCAAACCCCAAAATTTAAAATATATTTTACATTTTACCCATTATCTTATGTACATATTCATTATTTGTATATTGTAAAACATTTGCTGCATTTGTATGGTTTATAGTTTATTTGCCAAAGTATTTATTACTATAAATAGGTATATATATATTGTATTTATTAACTGTATATTATGTATATTTTTTTCCATGTATTCTACAACATACTTATTAATCTGTAGAGTCTAACTAGCGTGACGTCATAAATCTTGCTCCGAAGCTGTTCTATTAGAGACGGCATTACGAGAGACGGTATTGCGTCAGCATGGCTGCAAATTGCTAGCCTAATAAAATTAACACTAGAAAAGCCCGCGAGAACTGTCAAATTCAAAGTTATTCGTTTCACAGACTCTATTTAGCTTATAAAACAATGAACTTTTGATTTCTAACCACAAATTTCTCTTGACAGATGATAATCAAAGGCCAAAATGACATTCCTCGCAAATTTTGAAGTATAATTAGTGGAAAAGTTAAAAGTTTGTTAACCTTATTCTCTAATTGAAGATTACTACGACTAATTTTGACCTTGTGAATGCTTACATTTATATTAGAGGAACAGACTTCTACTCTAATAATTAAAACCACTAATTTATTCAACTAATTTTGAGGTTCTGATATAAACATATTTATAAATACTTTAACAACCGATATTCCGATTTGAAAAAGATTTCGAGTGATTATGTTTTGTTTGGTGCTTTAACATTTAACTTTGAAAAAAAAACAGAAATGGTACAGGAAGGGTGAAACTACCCCCACCCCTATACAGGGCGTTTCAAAAAACGTGTCCCATCTCTCGTGGGGAGATTCCTCACGTAAAAATAATATTTATTTTTCATATCAACATAGGTCCGATTTTGCTTTGTTTCGGAGCTACAGGGTGTTAAAATCCTAATCATTTTTCGATTTACTATAATTTTCTTCCAAGTACTTTTAGTGATTCGAATGAAATTTTGAGGGTAAAAGTTACATAAGTGCTTCATATTTTAATGTTAAAAAAGTGTCGATAAATTCATCAGGGACGTGCATATGGATTATAACTGGAATATTTTTTTTATAAAAAACGTGTGCGCCACTGACCTTTTTCTTTTGATGTCTAAATTGTTTGATGTCTAAATCTTTTAATAGGCCGTTTAATGCCTATTAAAAGTTATCTCTTGATATTTTGTTGAATTCGGCCTCCTTGATGAGATAAACGCAATTTTATTAATCACAATAATTAATAAAATTAATAAATTATATATTTTACTTAATAATTATTACTTATTATTAGTATTAGTTATTTTTACTATTAGTCCAACATACAGCAATTTCAATTAAAAAAAATAATTATATTCAAGATAATTACAAAAAAAATAATTTAAAAAAGTTTTAACATCTTGTATCTCTAAAACTATGCATTTTCATGCCCATGTTTAGGGAATGCAATCCCGCAAATGCGGGATCCCTCTGTGATTCCGCGGGATCAAATTTGCGGGATTTACCGTGCGGGATCTGCGGGATCGACACCAGGGGATTCCCCTTACGGCTTGGCCATTAAAAATAAATGAAATAAACAGGTTAGTTGTTAGATTTCTTTCTGGCGTGCGTAAGTGAAGAAAAGCGTTTAACTAGTACTTGTGGACAATTTCGTCAAATAAACTGCCGGACATAATTATCCGGACAAGCAAAATTTTAGGGTAAATTTAAAGTTGAATATCTCTTGAACTAAAAAAGATTTTGGGATGCGGTTTGGACCAGGTTTTAGATGCATCTATTGTGATTAAGATACTATGTGATTTTCGAAAATATATTTAGTGAATTCTCGTATACAGGGTGTTTTATAAGAGTGTGAAAATTTAGTCAAGAATCTTTTTTACCGCAAATTTACAGTTTTTAAAAAATCGAAATTTTTACGACTAATCTGTATTGAAATTAGAAAAAACAGTTTGATCGGTTTTTTATTTTTTTTTTGTTTTAAGGAAAATACGACGTTTTTTCGAAAAATATGCATTTTTAGTCATACGATGGTCCTAAATGGAACAAAAAGCTTTGTACATTCTGCATATGCCAAAAAATTATTGATATAGAGTGTATCTAAAAGCAGATAACTAACACAAATTGAAAAAAAACCTTCAACATCAGAATAATATTTTTATTTATAAAATAAGTAGATAAATTATAATAAAATTTAAGTTTATTTAATATTAAATATATTTTTTGAGCACCCTGTATACATCGGTTCAAATTTCTGTTGAACTAGTTTAAGATACACTATTGTGGGCCTACGCTATAGTATATTGTGGGCCTATGCAAAATGTACAATGCCTTTTGTACCATTTAGGACCAAATGTATGACTATAAATGCATATTTTTTCGAAAAAAAACTCGTATTTTCCTTAAAACAAAAAATTAAAAAAAACACCAAATTGTTTTTTTCTAATTTCAATACAGATTAGTCGTACAGCATACATAGTTAAAATTTCGATTTTTCAAAAATTCTAGATTTTCGGTAAAAAAAATTCTTGGCTAAATTTGTACACTATTATAAAACACTCTGTATACGAGAATTCGCTAAATATATTTTCGAAAACCACATAGCATCCTAATCACAATAGATGCGTCTAAAACCTGGTCCAAATCGCATCCCAAAACCGGAGAGAGAAAAGAAGAGCATTTATTGTTTACAATCCCGCAATTTTGCGGATCCGCGGTATTGATTGCTTTAATCCCGCGGGTTTGCGGGATTGAGATTTCGGTGTGGGATTGCATTCCCTACCCATGTTTATAGGAATTTTTTTCATATTTTTAGAATGAGTACATATTTAAAACTTTCGCTAGTAAATGATATTAAAATGTTTTGCAGACTTGGATCAAGGCAAATTAATAAAATTGCATTTATCTCATCAGGGAGGCCGAATTCAACAAAATATCAAGAAACACCTTTTAATTGGCATCAAACTGTTTACACTATTTCGCTATCAAGAGAAAAAATATTCAGTGGCGTACATCCTTTTTTTTAGAAAAAATATTCCAGTGATAACCCATATGCACGTCCCTGGTGAATATGTCGACACTTTTTTAGCTTTAAAATATGTCGCATTTAAGGTAAAGTCACCTATAATGGACATAGCTCCTATAGTGGACACTCATTTTTCATTTTCTTAAAACAAGTCAGTCATAGGTTTCCATGAAAAAATAAACAGTTTGGCACCACTGTCTAACATCGTTATTAACAGGGTACATTTCCCGCGCCTTTATACATAACCTCATTTGAACAAAGACACTTTATGTTGATGACGCACCTTTTGACTCTTTTTTACAAGCGGTTGTTACCAAAAAATTAACCAGTAAGTACTAACTTTTTCTTTTTTTTATATCTTGATTTTAATAATAATCAAAATATGACATATTACCCTCAAAGAATATTATTCATTTTATTTAGTTCTCAGTAGAATTCTTGTTGAATAACAATTTTAAGGTTAGATAAAGGGAGTGTCATCTTTAGGAACACTAAACAATAAATGTTCCTTTTGAGGACATGACATGTTCACTATAGGAACAACTGAATTTTAAAGTATTTTAGGAGGGACACAATGTTATTTTAATGTTATTTAGATGGCTAAGAGTTTCTTTATAATACGAAAGCAGGAACCTATGGTGGACATCCCATGTCCACTATAAAACTGTCCACAATGGGTGCTGTTTGGAATTTTTTTTTCTTTTGTCTAGGTATGGTTAAGGTTAAAAAAATTTTAAAATACTCCGAAGAAAGCATGACAAATGCTTTATCGGACGTTAGAAGCGGAATGTCATATAGGGCTGCGTCTCTAAAACATGGGATT